ATAATTCACAATAAAACATTGAAAAAAAAATCTGAGGGGAGGGTATTTTTGAAAAGAGAGATCAGCAACACTAACCCCTTGAGGCATGATCAAGACTGGTATGTTTGAGGAATGGCAGGTCAGTGTGTTCAAGTGGGTGGGGTTTAGAGTAATAACAGACAAGGTGGAGGAAGTGGGCAGGGAGATATTAGACAGTGGACTGTCAACTCTGGCATACACTGTAAGTGCCTGCATTACCTTTTTAAAAGGTGCAGTTTCAGTACTACTATTGTTGCTGTTAAGGAGTTCTGGTAGTGTAGTGGTTACGAATCAGGCTGCCAACCTCAGGGTCAGCAGTTCGAAACTACTAGCTGTTCCACGGGAGAAAGATGAGGCTTTCTGCTCCCGTAAAGATTCACAGCCTCAGAAAACCTGTACAGGGTCGCCATGAGTCGGAACCGACTCCACGGCACATAACAACAACAATTATTGCTGTTAAGTAGGGTGGAGTCCAGTTCCGACCCATAGCAACCTTTTATAGGGTTTCCAATGAGTGGCTGGTGAGCTTGAACCTCTGACCTTGCAGTTCAAAACAACATTGAAGTCCAGCACATTAACCCACAGCGCCACCCCAGGACTCCTACTGCACCTTTTTTTAAGCCCCACCCACTCAAACACACTGGCTTGACCTTCCTCAAACACACCAGTCTTGATCCTGCCTGAAGAGGTTAGCCTTGCTGTTCCCTCTTTTCAAGAATACCCTCCCCTCAGATTTTTAAATAGCTGACTCTTCCTATAGTTTTCAGTTGGAGTCCTGGTGTAGTGCTGTGGGTTAATGTGCTGGACTGCAAAGTCATTTAAACCACAATGTTGGCGGTTCAAGCTCACCAGCCGCTCCTCAAAAACCCTATCCTGGATCGCTATGGGTCGAAACCAACTCGGCGGCACTTAACGACAATACAAGTATTCCAGTGATAGAACTCTCAACTTCCATGTGGGAGTCCGAAAACCAAAAGGGAAGAACACCTTCAGCATTTCTTAAGCTGAAAGAACAAAAGAAAAAACTCAAGTCTCAATTTGCAATGTTGAAGGATTCTATGGACAAAATATTGAATGATGCCAAACACATCAAAAGCAAGTGGAAGGAATACAGAGAGTTACTGCACCAAAAAAGAAATGGTCGATGTTCAGCCATTTCAAAAAAGTACCATGTGATCAAGAACCAATAGTACTGAAGGAAGAAGTCCCACCTTTACTGAAGGCACTGTTGAAAAACAAGACACCAGGAATTGATGGAATACTAATGGAAAACTTTCAACAAATTGATGCAGAGCTGGAGGTGCTCACTCATCTATGCCAAGAAATTGGGAAGGCAGTTACCTGACCAACCAATTGTTGTTGCAAAGTGCCATCGAGTCGGGATCTGACTCATAACGATCTTATACAGGGTTTCCAAGGAGCAGCTGGTAAGTTGGAACTGCCGGCCTTAACAGCCCCAACCGACATTGCAGTTTACCACATTAACCGGCAGCGCCGCACCAGAAGTCCAACCAATTGTAAGAGATCTGTATTTGTGCCTATTCCACCTACTGGAATATGGAAATCATTGAATAATATCATTAACATCACATGCAAGTAAATTTTGTTTAAGGTAATTAGAAAATGGTTGCAACAGTTCAGCAAAAGGAAACTGCCAGAAATTCAAGCCAGATTCAGAAGGGGACATGGAACTAGGGATAACATTGCTCATGCCAGGTAGATCTTGGCTGAAAGTAGAGAATACCAGAAAGATGTTTATTTGTGCTTTATTGACTAAGCAAAGGCTTTCAACTGTGTGTATCATGACAAACTATGGATAATATTGCAAAGAACGAGTGTTCCCAACACTTAATTGTGCTTATGAGGAACCTGTATGTGAGGAACCTGTATGTAAGGACACAGAATGGTTTAAAAACAGAAATGATGCGTGCCAGGGTTGTATTCTTTTTCCATATGTATTCAATCTGTATGCTGAGCAAATAATAAAAAAAAGCTGGATTATATGAAGAAGAGCGTGGCATCAGGATTGGAGGAAGACTCACTAACAACCTGTGATAGCCAATTTATACAACTTTGCTTACTGGAAGCAAAGAGGACTTAAAATATTTACTGACGAAGATTACAGACTACAGTCTTCAATAGGGATTGCACCTCAATGAAAAGATGATACAAGTCTTCACAATTGGACCAATAAATAACATCATGATAAATGGAGAAAAAATTGAAGATGCCAAAATCTTCATTTTACTTGGATCCGCAATCAATGGAAGCAGCAGTTAAGAAATCAAAGAACCACTGCATTAGGCTAATCTGCTGCACAAGACCTCTCTAAGATATTAAAGAGCAAAGATACTAGTTTGAGGACTGAGGTGCACCTGACCCAACCCATGGTATTTTCAATTGCCTCATATGTATGTAAAAGTTGGACAATGAATAAGGAAGACTGTAGAAAAGTTGGTGTATTTGAATTATGATGTTGGTGAAGAATATTGAAAATACCACAGACTGCCAGAAGAATAAACAAATTTGTGTTGGATGAAGTACAGCCAGGATGACAAGATTTTGTCTCTCATACATCGGACATGTTATCAGGACAAACGAGTCCCTGGAGAAGGACATCATGCTCAGTAAAGTAGAGGATCCTCGAAAAAGAGAAGATCTCCAACAAGATGGATTGACACAGTGGCAGCAGCAATGGACTCAGATATAACAACAATTGTTAGGATGGCGCAGGACCAGGCAGTGTTTCCTTCTGTTGTGCAGAGGGTCACTCTGAGTTGGAACCAACCTGATGGCACCTAACAACAACATGTGTGAGTCCTGGGTTTGACTCCTGGCCAATGCGCCTCATGTGTACTCACCACCTTCTGTCATTGGAGACATACATGTTGCTATGATGCTGACCACTTGTCATCAGAGTTTCTAGACTAAATGGAGTAGGAAGAAAGGCCTGGTGACCTACTTCCAAAACTCAGTCAAGAAAAGCCCTATGGATTCAAGAGGTTAGATTTCAAACTGATCATGCACAGTTTTATCATCATGGGGTCAACATGAGTCAAGCCAGCACTAGGGCAGCTAACAACCACCGCAGCTTTAAAAAATACCAAGGATTAGCATGCCTTGGATGAACCTTGAAAACATTGTGTGGAGTAAAATAAGTCAGTTGCAAAAGACCAACACTGGATGATCTCACTTATCTGAAATAAGCAAACATAGATATCAAAGATAATGAAGGAGGGAACTTTTACTTAGGGAGCATTGAGTTTATGTTAAAGGTGGTAGAATGATTTGGAAAAGAATAATGAAAATGGCTGCACAATTTGAAGTGTGATCATTGTCACTGAATTATACATGTAGAATGTGTTGAAGTAGTGTATGTTATGTTATGTGTATTTTCACCATAATTAACAAAACAATAGAGTTTCCAAGACTGTCAAACTACTGGAGCAGACTGCTTCATCTGTTTCCTGTAGCCGCTGGTGGGCTTGAACCATTGATTTTTCAGCTCGCAGCCACTATGTCACCAGGGCTCCTTTCTGGGATGTGGGGGACTCCATGATTTTTTGCGTTTTAAGGTTGAGAGTATCTGTCAAAACGTGAAATCTGGATTCTATTGTAAATTGCAAGGGAAAGGTCACTGAGCGGATGAAACAGGGCATATTGGAACCAGGTCAAAAGCCACCTCCTCTGAGAAACTTTCACATATTTTTTTCAGGCGTTAGATCCAGCTTGGCACACGTCCAGTACTGGCGCTGACCTGGCCAGGGCTTCGCCACACGGGTCCTTTAAGCCCTCTCAGGGTGTCCCTTCCCTGGCTGCTCCTGTTTGGACGCACGCAGGTCTGGTGACCTTGGGAAGTACACAAGTACGTAGAAGACAGAACAAAATGGGAATGTGGGGTACCCAAAGCTAAATCAGGGGAGGAGAGATGACCTTCTCAGAGAGAAGGGAGTTCGATGGAGCAGAGCAGGAGGGCAGAGCGGCTGTCAAGCCCTGCTGTCGGGACTTGAGTGACCTTACTTAGCAGCACGTGAACTATCTTAGGTCTGTAGGTGGCTCCCAAGGCGGAATGTGTGTATCCCCTCTTCTCCGGGGTCTGGCAGTCACGCCCCGCGACCTGTAATTTGCAGGAGCCCACAGGTCTCAGTTCACTGGCGGTGTTGGGGGTGGGGCTGAGATCCTAGGTTCTCCCCGAAATCGTGAGCGATGAAGCAGCCAGTAGAAATATGGCTTGGGGAATCTTTGGGCGGGGCCATTGGTGAAGTTGGCCAATCGTCCAGCGGGGAGGTCCTCAGGTCTTTAAAAATGTTGTTGGGAGGCGCTGAACTCCGCTGGCGCCCGCTGCAAGCTGCGGGACCCTACCGGCAGGACTCCTGTGTCCCTCACTAACGGCGATGGCTAATGCGAGGGGCAGCTGTCACATGGCCCGCGCCTTCGAGTCTGTGATTCCCTCGAACTGGCGGAAAGATGTGGCGTCGGGGCTGCCCCCTAACAGCTCTGTGGGCAACGCGTCTGAGAGCTTTCGCTCGACCTGGGGTCCCCACTGTCCGGACTGCCTGGAGGGGGCTACGGAAGTCGGCGCAGCACTGACTCTGCGGGCGCTGATCGCGGGCGCCTACCTGGCCCTGTGCGCTGTAGGGCTGGTGGGCAACTTGCTGGTGCTAGTTCTGGTCCGTTCCCAGCAGCGGCGGCGCCCCTCGCTGCTCAATTGCTTCCTCCTCAACCTGGCGGCCACCGACCTGCAGTTTGTGCTGACACTGCCCTTCTGGGCTGCGGACACGGTGCGTGACTTCAGCTGGCCCTTCGGGGGCGTCATGTGCAAGCTGGTGCTGACGCTCACGGTGCTCAACATGTACGCCAGCAGCTTCTTTCTCTGCGCCATGAGCGTGGCGCGCTACCGCGCCGTGGTGGGCGCGCTGCGCCCGAGCCGTCGAGGGGCCCAGCGGGCCGCTGGCGTGTGCTACCTGCTCTGGGCGGCGGCCAGCCTGGCCACGGCGCCCACCGCCCTGTTCGCCACGGCGGCCCGCGTGGGGGGTGAGCCCCTGTGCCTGCTCCGCTTCCCCGACCGCGGCCCCGACTGGCTGGCGCTCTACCACCTGCAAAAGATCGCCTTGGCCTTCGTGTTGCCGCTGGCTACCCTGGGCACCTGCTCATTGCTGCTACTACGCTTCCTGCGACGGCGGCAGGCACGCTGGTCGGCGAGGGTGCGTACCCGACGGCACTCCCGGGTCACTCGTGCGTTGGCCTGTGTGCTGCTGGCCTTCCTGCTCTGCTGGCTGCCTAACCAAGCACTCACGCTCTGGGGGGTGCTGATCAAGCTGGACGCCGTCTGCTGGGGCCGCGCCTATTTTCTGACACAGACTTACCTCTTCCCTGTCTCTATCTGCCTGGCGCACGCCAACAGCTGCCTCAATCCACTACTCTACTGCCTGCTACGCCGTGACTACCGCCGGGACCTTAGAGAGATGTGCGGTCGTACCAAGGGCTCCGCGGATCTTCGATCAGGCCCAGATGGCCAAGTCCCAGGATCCGGGCTCTCCAGCCAGATCTGAGCCCGGGTAAGCACACTTCTTTCAAGGAGGGCCATCCTCAACCTGCATCAGTACCAATGAGATGGGGCAGACTGTGCCATTTGGGGTAGGGATGGGGACGTCAAGAAGCAGTGTCTGAGTGAAGGCCGTGTTGTTGAACCGCTGGAGGTGGCGATGAGACTGAGAGTTCACTACTAACCTTTGTGTGACCCCGGGTGAGTCTCTTCATCCGTGGACTCTGTTTCCCCATTTGCACCGAGAAGTGGGAATTAGATGAACCCTGGGGACACTGCCAGGAGAGCTGGTACAATCTCTGCCAACTGTGAGCTCCATCTAGTGCTTTTAAAAGGACTTAAAACGTCCTCATTCCTGTTTTGATTTTACACTTTTTTGTATGGAAACTGTGAGCATAGGGTTTTTGAAAGCTGTGCGTGAAGGAACATCAGGCCCCAGGCAGCCCTTGATGGATGAGGATTTCAGAGCTTTCTGCTACTAGGCCTGCCTACTATCTGTCCTCTCCGTACCCTAAGCAGCACTGATTCAGCAGTACTTGTCACCAGAGAATGCTAGATGCTGCAGGCAGAGGAGCTCTAAGGAACAGCTGGAGAGGCCAAGCGGTGCAGTATGGAGAAGAGGGTGTGTAGTTCCCCCCTTTCCCCAGGCTCGGGGGGAATAGCAGTGGCCTGGGTGGTGTCTGTGGGAGAAAAGTCATGGAAAGCAGATTTCAGTCCCTAGCTGTGATGGACTTGTCCCATTTTTTGAGCACCTGAGCCTAGAGAGATACTGAGCTCCCCGTCTTTGGTGGTATTCCGGTAGAAACAGAATGGACACTTACATAGAATGTTGGAGACAGAATGCATCCATTGTGGGTTTGAAGTGACTAGATAATTTCAGCAAACCCCTTCTAGGCTAAAGATCCAGTACACTATGTGGGATTTGTTGTTGTCGTTAGGTGCCTTCAAGTCAGTTCTGATTCATAGTGACCCTACATACAACAGAACGAAACACTGCCCAGGTCTGCACCATCCTCACAGCCATTCCTAAGTGAAATAGGCAGTAATGTGGCTTCAGTGCTTGCATGATGTTAAACCTTGTTGTTATATGCCGTGGAGTCAGTTCTGACTCACAGGGACCCTGTATAGGGTTTCTGAGGCTGTAAATATTTACGGAAGCAGAAAGCCTCATCTTTCTCCTGCGGAACAGCTGGTAGTTTCCAACTGCTGACTGTGAGATTAGCAGCCGGATTTGTAACCACTACACTACCAGAGCTCCTTGATATTAAACCTTAGCAGTCAGTATATTCTCCCCAGATGCACCAGGAAGGCAACCAATTTAAATTCCTTCTCTGGTTGGCAGCACTTGATTCTCATATTGATGCTGAACTGCCATAAAGCATTCTCAACACATATCACTTGAGCTTAGGTGGCTAAAGATCAGAATTCTTATCTATATCCTTGCAAAGATCTGCATATAAATTCTGTGCCTGAAGGAAGACTGGATGCTTGAAAAAAACCCTACTTCTGTACCTGATGTCTGAGCCAGGAGCCCATGCAGGCAGGACCTTGGATTAATCCAGATGTCTGCAGATTTGTCATCCCAGAGCAGTCTGGAAGTGGGGGGATACTTAGAGCTAGCACCTGATGAAATGAGTCCCTGGGGCCCTTGGTGTGGATGGTACTATTATTTTTTAAAGTACCACAATACAAAGGAATCTTTGTTTTTTATAGTACTTGACCACTTAAAAGGAAAACAATGTTTTGGAAAGTGAAGACCTGCAGTAGTTCATAAGTAGAGCCAAACCTTCATCAGTACTTCTCTTAGTGTTATTTTAAAAGTGGGTCATTTTGCAGTTCATTTCTCCCCTGTGGGCAAAGGAATGTGTTTTTGTGGGAACAACAGGAAAGAGAAGGAATCATTTCCACAAATTCCAGTATCTTGTTACAGCCCAGCCCCTTGAGTTGGCCAGAGGACCAGCCCTCAGTTAAAAAGGTGGGACAGTCTCTCAGGGGAATGCCAGACCTGTCTGGGAGCCACAAGAACTACTATTCTAAATTAGAAATCATAACTCATTAAATAGAACTGAGAGCAGTGGTCACTTCTAAAATCATTCTGGTTTAAATAACATTGCATAATGTTATATGGGTGACTTCATAAATACCACACAAAGGTGTGACAGGCAAAGACATCCAACTTGGAATCAGAAAGCCTGCTCAGAAACTTCTGCTCTTTCTTGCTTTGTGACCCTGAGCAAGTTGCTTTGCCTCTCTGAGTCTCCATTTGCAATCTATAAACTGAAAGGGTTGATCACTCATTGTACATTTCCCAGATCAATAATTGTTTTTTAGCTGCTCCTCTCTTACTATGTTCTTTTATAATTATTGCTTTCTATATGGTTATTTCTTGCCATAAAACATACAACCTATACAATATAGTCCATATAACTTAGTTATTGCAAATTGGTTCTTTTATCAAGGTCAGCGTAACTTTTTACTGGCTCTTGTTATAAAGAAGGCCCCTGGGTGATGCAAACAATGAGTACTTCACTACTAACCTAAGGGTTGGCATTGTGAACCCACCCAACTGCACCACAGAAGAAAGTTCTGGCAATGTGCTTTTGGAAGGGTCACAGTGGCCTTGAAAATCCTATGGATTTTCAACACAGGGAATCATTGTGAGTTTGAATTAACTTGACAGCAACAGGTTTTATTGTTACGTTGCCCACACAGTAGAGAACTATGCATTTTACGTAAGGTCAGAGTCCTGGTGTGGCGCTGTGGGTTAATGTACTGGACTGCAAGGTGGGTTTGAACCGCAAGGTCAGTAATTCAAGTTTCATTCATTGGAAACCCTATGTAGAGTCGCTGTGAGTCAGAATTGACTCGACGGCACTTAACAACAACAACACTGAAAGTCTGAACCTTGAGTGTGCCCATCTCTGAGCTGGTACTCTTGAGGCTTCCTGTTTTGCTTATAGGTATAGAGACCGGACCTCAGAAAGATAGCCACCTGTCAAGCCTGTACTTAGCATGGTCCTGACCCCAGCACTGAGCAGATAGTGAGGTTGGCGACAAGAAAGACAGAATGTTGCCTGAAAAGAGTGAGCTGGAAGCTTGGTGCCAGCCTGAGTGAGTCGTCAGTGGTAGTCTGTAGGGAAACACATGCACGGAAGGAAAGTAAAAAATGCCAAAGCTTGTAAAGCAAGAATGACATGGCAATTATTGAGAACCCTTTGAGACAGGCATTACACTTTGAATACATTAGGTCCTCCCAAAAGATTTAGAGGTGTATAATATTATCCATTGAAGAGCAAAGATGTCAGCTTGATGTCAGCTTGAGGACTAAAGTGCTCCTGACCCAAGCCATGGTATTTTCAATAACCTGATATGGATGCGAAAGCTGGACAGTGAATAAGGAAGAT